TAAAGAGAAGCAACCTTAGCAGATACTAATTTAGCAATCGATTTTATATGTGGTTTCCATGAAGGTCAGTAGTAAACAAAATATCCAAGAAGACCTAAAGAAGAAGAGAGAAAGAGGCTCAGTGAGAGGCTTGCTATTCATTAATATAAGAATGCCAGCAGTACTGCAATAGTTGTTTACAGTAAACAAATGAGTTATATTGGGGTTAAAACTTACAAACCACTACGAGCCCCAATCTGTGACAGAAGTGAGATCAGATTCATGACAGCTGCCTGTTCTAAGATTGGAAAGAGAAGACATTTTGTCAAGTTAGGAATTTAAAGTGGAGTCATCACCAAAAAGAGCCACTTTAGATATAAGGTTGTCAGGAAGATTATTAATATAGATAAAAACCAAACAGGAGGATACCCACCAAGGATAGACCCTTGAGGTATCCCAGAAGTTACTGGAAATAAAGAAGAGTATAGGCCTTCAAGGATGACTTTAATAAAACGGTTAGAAAAAAATGATTTGATAATCTCAAAAACTCTCCTAGATACACCATATGAAACAAGCTTATAGAGAAGACCAGCATGCCAAACTTTGTTGAAAGCCTTAGATATCTCAAGAGTAATAGCCTTAGCTTCTCTGTCTCCATCTAATACACAACAAAATCTTTCAGTCAGCAAGTTAGCCGTAGAGCAAGAGGATCAAAAATTGTATTGATTGCCTGACGTAAGTTATTTGACTCAAGATGAGATGTGAGAAATTTATTCATCAAAGACTTGAATACTTTGCTAATAACAGAAAGAAGACTGATTGAACAATAATTGAAGAGATCAGAATGTTAACCTGAAATGGAACAACAGATCACATTTTACAGCAGGCAGGCAAACAGGAGCACTTATTAAATAGTTTAAACAGAATTGAAGAGAGTTCTGGAAAACAATTTTGTAAGGCTGTGACAGGAATGTTGTCAACACAAGCCGTAGAAGATTTTAATCGAGATATGATTTTAGCAACTGAAGCTGGAGTGATTTGAATGTCTAACAATTGGTTAACCTGTTTAATTAGAATGGAAAGAAGAGAATAGCCATAAGATTCAAGAGTCAAATTAAAAGAAAAGTTTTTACAAACAGTTCTGCCTTATCCTTGGGAGAGGTAATAAGATCAGTCCAATGAATGAGATATGAAATGTTAGACTTACCCTTGTTAACAATGCTGTAGAAGATTTTCCAAAAGTTTTAATAGCCTAACTTCTGATACAAGATTTAGTGAACTGAGATTAATGGAGCTTAGCACATGACAGCACCTTTTTACATCGATTTCTTGCAACAATAAATAGGCGGTTGTTCTCAAGAGAGTTGTTTTTTGAAAAAGATAAAAAAATTGATTACAATTAGATATAGCAGCTGCACAAGAGGGTGGAAACCATGGAGTATAATGAGGCTTGACTAGGAACCAACAAGAAGGAATAAAAGATTCCAATCCTGCCTGAAGCCAAGAGGTTAAATGGGAGGCGTATTTATTAGCTGAAAGAGAAAAAACATCCGCCCAAAGAATATCACAAAGAAAATCCCAGTCAGCGTTAGGGTCGTAGTAAGTAGTGTGATAATAGTACGAGATGAAAGATTTAAAGAGATCATTGCATGGTCAGAACCACCTGAAGGAGAAAAGGGAGAAACTGAACACAAGCTAGGATCAGAGACCAGATATAAATCAAGGAGTGAAAGTAAATGATTAGATTTGTCAGGGAAATGAGTCACAAAGTTAACTAACTTTCCTAGATACACCATATAAAGAGGGCTTTTGAAAAAAACCAACAGACTTTATCAAAAGCCTTTGATATGTCAAAAATTAGTAAATTCAAGTAAATCTAATGTTCATCATCCAAAAAATAATGTAACATGGATTTCTTCTATAGCAACTTTTTAGATAAAGATGTTTAAGCTTGGTCAAAATTAATTTTTTGCTTACCTCTAAAATCTTTGCCTAGAAGACCTTCTATAAAACAGTAGCCGGATGCAGTTAGCACCTCCCAATTAAGGTAATTGTTATTAAATGAAATAATTTAAAATTGTCAAATAATATAAAAAATAAAAATATATTATATTCTGTAAATAAATTATTGAATTAGCATATAAACAAACATATATGCTAATTCAATAAATATAAAATAAATGTATATATTTATTGAATCAGCAATTTGCATCCTTTAAAAAATATTATATTAATTTTTTATTACTAAAACTTTTAAAATTGGAAAAACAATAATATCAATTCTCTATAAAAATTGATTCTCAATTCTCTATAAGAAATTTTATGTGATTATATTATATTTTTATCAAAAAAACTAACTTACTTAAGAGCCATAACCCCTAATTTGTTGAGCTATAAGCCCTAATTTGTTGAGCTATAAGCCCTAATTTGTTGAGCCCTAAGCCCTAATTTGTTGAGATTTACTCAATCAAAAGGAGGAAAAAACAAAATAAAAATTGTTTTTTCTCAATCCAGCTTTTACTAACCAAAAAAAACTAAACTACCTCACTTGGTCTGATATAGAATCAACTTAATGTCATAACCAGGACAATTGAACTCGTCATTTCAAAAAGGGCACAATCCATTTATTCAAACTTTTCAGGATCAGCAAAAATAACTTTATTAGAAAAAAAGTCTATGGTGCTAAAGAAACTAAAGATAACAGTAGATATATAAAAGTTATACATAAGTTTTTAGAGTTTAATTTGTTATAAAAAAATAATATATAACACATATATTTCTAATTTAAATTAATGGACTTATGTCTTTTTCGGAATGAACGCTTTTTTGTATATAAAAAACCAAAGATTATCAGAATAATAATGATTTATTATTACACAAAAAATTTATTGTTAGGTAATCATCAATTATTTCTTGGAATTCATTGTTTGCCGAAGTTGTTGGCGAAGCAAAAACCTTTGTATAGAAGTTTTGGTACTCTTCTATTGAATACGGAATATATTTTTTCATATTTTTTTCAAATCTGATATATTTTTTTCATTGATAGGTAATTTTCCAACATATGCAGGATTACTACTTAATGGTAAGGTTGACCGGGTACCCATCCTTTGTAATAGCTGGAAATTATAACTGACTAAGCAATCTATGGATTCACATGTTTTCACTAAACCTGCTGTGGTATTAGAGAATGTGAAATGTGAAATTTTAGAAATACCAAAAGTAAGTTTTTTGTCCTTGGGTACTCCTTTTTTATAGGAATCCACAGATAGCACAAGTTTCTTATAATGGTTTAGCCACCATTTTTTTACATCGTTGGTGTGTAAATCCGATCATTTTTTTGAATGTCGTTTTGCTGTTCCAAACATTCTATCATTTGGCAAGAATGAGTGACCTCTTTTTGGTATGTAATATTGTATCTCATTTATATTGCTATCTAGTTCAGCTACCAGTGATAAAAGTATTCGGACCGTGGCATGATTTCTGTTTTGGCCTGCACAACCATCAGAAAATAGGTGCAGTTCTTTGGCTTTGTTGCCAATATTTTTAAAAATATAATTCAACACAAAGGTACATACTTCGCTCACGTACTTTTGTTAATGTATCTCCAGGTAATGTGTTGCATCATGATCACAGAGATTTACCTCTGTAATCTATAGGCTGCTCTTTTTTTTTAATAAAATGTATAAATGTCTAACTTGTTTCATAGAAATTCCATGCATACAGTAAAAAGATTTCTTGCGTACTTTTCTTATCACACCTTCAATCTTAATGTGATAAATAAAAGAAAATTCTTTTTTCTTAGGTTCTTTAGATCTAAACCATCTTCCCTCTTTTCAATCAATGACTGCAAGTATGTGTCTTGAGCATTTTTACAATCAAATTTGTTAACAAACTGAATTGTACTTTCTATAAAATCTTCAGATACAAGCTCCATACACTTTGAATTACATCTGTAAATAAATAGAATTATTGAGGTAATATTGTAATAATTATATATCAAGATGTTTTACCTCCAATTATTGGTGGTAAAACATGAGTAAATAAACATAAATTTGAGAACGAATATAGTCAAGAACAAAAAACTAACCTGCAAGAAGCACCCGTTTGACTTAGTGTCACATCATTTCCTTTGTAGTTTTTATAAGTTTCTCCAGCAACTTTGGCTTTTTTTATTTTTTTGTGTTTATAATTTCCACTGTTTCTTATACCAGACACTATTTTCTAGATCTATATGCATTTTCAGCAAGTTTGCGATTTTCCATTTTTGTTACAAAAAAAGTGAAATTACGTCACTACAGTTGCGCTTTGTTTCACTTGAAAAAGGCATAAGTCCGGGACTTGTGCCATTTTCAAACGGACATTAATTTTCATTTGCATTTAAAGTTGACTTGTGGCATATGAAAATGTTTCTCCTTCAAAGGGAATATGTAAAACACTTGAATAAATAAAATTGCATTAAAAAGTGAAATTTAAAAAAAGTGTGACTTGTGCCCTTTTCGAAATGATGGGTTCAATTACAGAACAATATAAAAATGAAAATTTTTAAAATAATTGAAAACAACACTATTATGAAAAAAAAGTTTATGATGAATTGCATGAAAACTATTTTTAATAAAAATTTTATTGATTTAATTTTTTGTGATTTTTTTAACAAATTTTAAATACAAATATTATTTTAGTAATTAAATTTTTTATTTAACTACATAATTACATTTTTACTATTTTATTTATACTTGTTATATTATAGACTTTTTTAATTTATTTTAAAATTGATTTTATCTATCAATATTTGTCAATAAATAATTATTCAAATAAATTTTTTAAATAGTTTATAAATATTGAAAGAATTTTGTGTTGGGTGTGTCTTTAAAAAAAAGTTTATTACTCCTATAGGTTGACAGTTTGTTAATGTGATAGTTGCTGATGGCAGCAGTAATTTAAATGAGATTATGTATAATATAAAACAATAGTTAATTTAAAATGTGTAACTATGTATAATATAAAACAATATTTTTTTTTACCATAATTCCAGCAAAGTTCTTTAGTTATCTGCTGAAACATTGGCAACTCATAAACAAACAGATTGCTATGACAACTGCTTTTACGGTTTCTAAATATATCTAATCTGAATGTATCACGTACTGAATTATAACGTATTGCAGATTTACAGGAAACTTCATTTTGAGTGTCTGATTCACTTCTCGTGAATTCATTTGCTTGAAATGAGGTTTTTGATAAACCAAGCTCCGTAGTTTGGATACCATTATGATGCAAAAACCTTTGCTTGTCTTTTTTTTTAACATTTTTATCAAAAGTACATGTCAAATGACATCCTATCCTTCTTCCAAACTCAGGACAATCAGATAAATTAACAATCCTTTTTTGAAATTGTTTTAATGTAAGGATATCAAAAATTTCACAAAATTTTGACAAGTTTTCGACAACTAGATTATCTTCATTATAATTGACTCTTGTATCTGATGTTGATTTTTCTATATTAATTTTATTCTGGGTAATAATTAACTCTACCAAGTTATCAAACATTTATAAAACTGTTGACTATTGTTTTCATTTAAAACTTAGTTTATATCTAAACGATTGTAGCATAACCCAAGTGTAGTGTTTGCAAAGCTAATAAAAAATTTAATTTAACAAAACTTTAAATTTAAATTTAAATTGAAGTTTTGTTTTCCATTAAAGTTTAATGGGTGTATTTTTTTAACTTAAAAAGTAAAACATCAGGACTAAAAATAGTAGCTAAAAAAAGTGCCTGAAATATTGCTCCAAGCACAAAAAGAACTATTAAATCGTATACTGAAAATCAAAAAAATTTCAATTTGCCGATTTTTCTTTACAGTTTTAGATATTATATCAAAATAATACAGCTGATTGCATCATAACTCCTTTGCTAAAAATATGTAAACAATCTGTAGAAAAAAGATAAAAGCATGTATGCAAATAAGTTCCGTATACTCGAACCTCCAAGGGACTATAGATTAAGAAAAAAATCTAGTAGGCACAAAACGTATTTTTAACGTCTTAAATACGTCTTGTACATTTTAAAGCATGACATCGCTACCATATATGAACCTGTGTTTTTTAAATGGGCGAATTTGTCAATACTTGTTGATCAAATCCACCCTTTTAAAAAATACTGATTCATATTATGATTATATCATAAATACTGATTCATAATATTCATATAAAAGTACTACCACTAATTGTGCTACTTTTTGAAATTATTAGCGCTTCACTAGAAAATAATAAACTATTAGTCTTTTAATAATGTAAGAGTTGGTTAGATATTAAACGTTCTAAAGTTTTACAAATAATTGAAGTTAAGGAAACTAGCCTATAATTTGAAAATTTATTTTTACTGTCATTTTTAAACAACGGCGTTATGTTTGCTGTCTTCCATGAAATAGATACTACACCTTCGTAAATTGATTAGTTAAATAAAAGTTAATTAGAAAAACATTTACACATTCTTTTAATAAAAAGGAATGAATTCCATCTGGTCCAAGCGATTTTCTTGGGTTTATAGCATTTATCATATTAATAACTTTAGTTGAGGTAATACTAATAAACTGTAGTGAATTTAAACACTTTTTTTCAAAGTTCGGTAAAATATCGTTGTTATTTCTTATAAATACTGATTTAAAATATTCATTTAAAGTATCAGCAATCTGCTTTTGATACGTAATGATGCACGCATCAGAATCTTCAATTGATGTTAAATAATTTTTAATTTTTCGTTTTCTGTCAATATAATAATGCAGCAGTTTTGGGTTTGATTTTGCATATTTAGCTATGTAATTTTCGTACTCTATTGTAGCTTTTTTAACTTTTTTATATACTTCTCTTCTTGCTTTATTATATTAAGATTTTTTTAAACTATCCATCCGTAAAAAAATCTATTGATAGACCAGAGTTTATTCTTCTTTTTAATATTATTTATAATCTCTTTGTTAAGAAGCATTTTTGTGTTTATTTCGATTAATTTTTACTAATGGAATAAGTTTTTTACAAGCTTATATAATAATTGAAAAGCTTACAAAAATAGTTTATATTTTTGTTCAAGAAAAAAATATTCTAATTTATCGATTGTATATAGTTTGATATCTCAAAATAATTTTTTTACAGGTGTTTTGTCTTGCTTACATATAAGTAGTAAAACTAATTTAAGAAAATTTTATTAAAAACACTTTTTTTCATTTGTTTGACAACTTTTGTAAAATGTTTAATAGCAACATCTTTTGTAAAATGTTTAATAGCAACATTAAAATTTAGCAACTTTTGTTTTGCTGAAAATAAAAAGAATAAAAATTTAGTAGCATATAAGATGGAAACTAACGCTACTAGTTTAGTAGTTAACTCTAATCAGTATGGTTTTACAAAAGGTAAAAATGGCACAACTAATTTCCTAGAGTACATGATATTGAGTTTGGGGTCCCTTCTCAATCGTAGGCTGTTATTGTTTTTAATTTACATCAATGATATGTTTTTAATTTGCATCGAATGAGTGACCTCTTTTTGGTATGTAATATTGTATCTCATTTATATTGCTATCTAGTTCAGCTACCAGTGATAAAAGTATTCGGACCGTGGCATGATTTCTGTTTTGGCCTGCACAACCATCAGAAAATAGGTGCAGTTCTTTGGCTTTGTTGCCAATATTTTTAAAAATATAATTCAACACAAAGGTACATACTTCGCTCACGTACTTTTGTTAATGTATCTCCAGGTAATGTGTTGCATCATGATCACAGAGATTTACCTCTGTAATCTATAGGCTGCTCTTTTTTTTTAATAAAATGTATAAATGTCTAACTTGTTTCATAGAAATTCCATGCATACAGTAAAAAGATTTCTTGCGTACTTTTCTTATCACACCTTCAATCTTAATGTGATAAATAAAAGAAAATTCTTTTTTCTTAGGTTCTTTAGATCTAAACCATCTTCCCTCTTTTCAATCAATGACTGCAAGTATGTGTCTTGAGCATTTTTACAATCAAATTTGTTAACAAACTGAATTGTACTTTCTATAAAATCTTCAGATACAAGCTCCATACACTTTGAATTACATCTGTAAATAAATAGAATTATTGAGGTAATATTGTAATAATTATATATCAAGATGTTTTACCTCCAATTATTGGTGGTAAAACATGAGTAAATAAACATAAATTTGAGAACGAATATAGTCAAGAACAAAAAACTAACCTGCAAGAAGCACCCGTTTGACTTAGTGTCACATCATTTCCTTTGTAGTTTTTATAAGTTTCTCCAGCAACTTTGGCTTTTTTTATTTTTTTGTGTTTATAATTTCCACTGTTTCTTATACCAGACACTATTTTCTAGATCTATATGCATTTTCAGCAAGTTTGCGATTTTCCATTTTTGTTACAAAAAAAGTGAAATTACGTCACTACAGTTGCGCTTTGTTTCACTTGAAAAAGGCATAAGTCCGGGACTTGTGCCATTTTCAAACGGACATTAATTTTCATTTGCATTTAAAGTTGACTTGTGGCATATGAAAATGTTTCTCCTTCAAAGGGAATATGTAAAACACTTGAATAAATAAAATTGCATTAAAAAGTGAAATTTAAAAAAAGTGTGACTTGTGCCCTTTTCGAAATGATGGGTTCAATTACAGAACAATATAAAAATGAAAATTTTTAAAATAATTGAAAACAACACTATTATGAAAAAAAAGTTTATGATGAATTGCATGAAAACTATTTTTAATAAAAATTTTATTGATTTAATTTTTTGTGATTTTTTTAACAAATTTTAAATACAAATATTATTTTAGTAATTAAATTTTTTATTTAACTACATAATTACATTTTTACTATTTTATTTATACTTGTTATATTATAGACTTTTTTAATTTATTTTAAAATTGATTTTATCTATCAATATTTGTCAATAAATAATTATTCAAATAAATTTTTTAAATAGTTTATAAATATTGAAAGAATTTTGTGTTGGGTGTGTCTTTAAAAAAAAGTTTATTACTCCTATAGGTTGACAGTTTGTTAATGTGATAGTTGCTGATGGCAGCAGTAATTTAAATGAGATTATGTATAATATAAAACAATAGTTAATTTAAAATGTGTAACTATGTATAATATAAAACAATATTTTTTTTTACCATAATTCCAGCAAAGTTCTTTAGTTATCTGCTGAAACATTGGCAACTCATAAACAAACAGATTGCTATGACAACTGCTTTTACGGTTTCTAAATATATCTAATCTGAATGTATCACGTACTGAATTATAACGTATTGCAGATTTACAGGAAACTTCATTTTGAGTGTCTGATTCACTTCTCGTGAATTCATTTGCTTGAAATGAGGTTTTTGATAAACCAAGCTCCGTAGTTTGGATACCATTATGATGCAAAAACCTTTGCTTGTCTTTTTTTTTAACATTTTTATCAAAAGTACATGTCAAATGACATCCTATCCTTCTTCCAAACTCAGGACAATCAGATAAATTAACAATCCTTTTTTGAAATTGTTTTAATGTAAGGATATCAAAAATTTCACAAAATTTTGACAAGTTTTCGACAACTAGATTATCTTCATTATAATTGACTCTTGTATCTGATGTTGATTTTTCTATATTAATTTTATTCTGGGTAATAATTAACTCTACCAAGTTATCAAACATTTATAAAACTGTTGACTATTGTTTTCATTTAAAACTTAGTTTATATCTAAACGATTGTAGCATAACCCAAGTGTAGTGTTTGCAAAGCTAATAAAAAATTTAATTTAACAAAACTTTAAATTTAAATTTAAATTGAAGTTTTGTTTTCCATTAAAGTTTAATGGGTGTATTTTTTTAACTTAAAAAGTAAAACATCAGGACTAAAAATAGTAGCTAAAAAAAGTGCCTGAAATATTGCTCCAAGCACAAAAAGAACTATTAAATCGTATACTGAAAATCAAAAAAATTTCAATTTGCCGATTTTTCTTTACAGTTTTAGATATTATATCAAAATAATACAGCTGATTGCATCATAACTCCTTTGCTAAAAATATGTAAACAATCTGTAGAAAAAAGATAAAAGCATGTATGCAAATAAGTTCCGTATACTCGAACCTCCAAGGGACTATAGATTAAGAAAAAAATCTAGTAGGCACAAAACGTATTTTTAACGTCTTAAATACGTCTTGTACATTTTAAAGCATGACATCGCTACCATATATGAACCTGTGTTTTTTAAATGGGCGAATTTGTCAATACTTGTTGATCAAATCCACCCTTTTAAAAAATACTGATTCATATTATGATTATATCATAAATACTGATTCATAATATTCATATAAAAGTACTACCACTAATTGTGCTACTTTTTGAAATTATTAGCGCTTCACTAGAAAATAATAAACTATTAGTCTTTTAATAATGTAAGAGTTGGTTAGATATTAAACGTTCTAAAGTTTTACAAATAATTGAAGTTAAGGAAACTAGCCTATAATTTGAAAATTTATTTTTACTGTCATTTTTAAACAACGGCGTTATGTTTGCTGTCTTCCATGAAATAGATACTACACCTTCGTAAATTGATTAGTTAAATAAAAGTTAATTAGAAAAACATTTACACATTCTTTTAATAAAAAGGAATGAATTCCATCTGGTCCAAGCGATTTTCTTGGGTTTATAGCATTTATCATATTAATAACTTTAGTTGAGGTAATACTAATAAACTGTAGTGAATTTAAACACTTTTTTTCAAAGTTCGGTAAAATATCGTTGTTATTTCTTATAAATACTGATTTAAAATATTCATTTAAAGTATCAGCAATCTGCTTTTGATACGTAATGATGCACGCATCAGAATCTTCAATTGATGTTAAATAATTTTTAATTTTTCGTTTTCTGTCAATATAATAATGCAGCAGTTTTGGGT